CTTTTCTTATGCTTTGGTGGTGTTTCTAGTCAGGGACTAGGGGTAGGTACGACAAATAGATGATCATCAGAGTTAGGGCACAGTTTCTGAAGTTTAGAACTGATGGGTTCCCATTTGCGGAAAGTATATTGATGGAGTTGGTTTATGGTTGTAGTTTTGAGAGTTCTCCATTGCGTAGTCCTTGCATGAATTTGGTTCTTACAGTTAGGCAGAGAAAGATAATCGTTGCAAATGAGTATTCTCAAATTATTGGGTAGTTTGTTGGCAGCTGTGGATTTACGAGTGGTCTCTTGAATTTTCTTTATAAGATGCCTAGATTTCGAAGTGGTTACCGGGAGTTATGGAATATGCTGACGTTGTTCGTGCTACACTACAACGATTATTTAGCTGAAACTCGTGTTAGGAGTCACCTTTGTTTTTAGTTGGAAGGTACAACAACAATGAATAGACAGAGGTTGCAGGTGGCTCAGTGTCGATAGAAGAGCTATGCTGACAGACATCGATACGAATTAGGGTTCCAGATCGGCGATATGGTATTACTGAAGGTATCGCCCTGGAAGGGTGTGATACGCTTCTGGAAGAGGGGCAAGTTGGGCCCCCTCTATATTGGGTTGTTTCGATGGATTTTTAGGGTTGGCAAGGTAGCCTATTGATTGGATCTGCCTGAGGAGATCAGTCAGATTCACAACACCTTTCACGTCTCTCAGATATGGAAGTGTGTAGTTGATGATTCAACAGTGGTTCCTTTGGATGATATACATGTTGATGATCGAATAAGCTATGCCGAGAGACCAGTGGCAATCTTGGATAGGAAGATGAAGGCGTTGCGCAACAAGGTGGTATCTTTGGTCAAGGTCCAGTGGCATCATCAGAAGAGTTTCGAATGGACTTAGGAACCCGAGGCTAAGATGCGAGAGCACTACCCTGAATTATTCCCAGCACTGGACTTTGAGGACGAAGTCCGATTCAAGTGGGGGAGAATTGTAACGTTCATGATTCAGGTAATTTATATTTTTAACCCTACGTATGAAATTTAATTGCAAGAATGGTCCCATGGCTCCATAAGTGGAAATGCGCCACTTTGTGTGTACGATGGGCGTACGTTGCAAAGTGCAAACCCTATTTTTTAGGGTTTGAGCACTATTTAAGCATCATTAACTACCCAAGACTCCTTCCCTCATCATACTCCAATCCCATTTCGTACCTTGCAAACCTTAATCCATTCTTGTGCGCATCCTTGAGCCTTAGAGTGTGTTTTTGGTGTTCTTAAAGGAAGAAAAAGGAAGTGGATACACCTTGGTGGTGGATTAGGTGTCTAAGCCCATAACTATTATTGGTATGTACTTGACCCGATTATGAGCATGGTCCTTTTGGGTTGCCTTCACTCATGGAACTTGATAGGATGACAAGAGGAGAGAGAGTAGAATTTATTATATGAATAATAAATTGGTACTCAAAATGGTTTTGTTAATATATTACAAGATTAATATATTATTTGGAAATCATATTATTTAATTAGTATTGATCAGAAATTAATTTGGAATTAATTTGGTGGGCAAAAAGAGACTGATTAAATAATTTGGGGGACTGTTATGCAAATCATTGATAGTTGCATAATTGGGCTGATTGACTCCATAGAGTGGAGTGGACGGAATTTATGGGGAAGCCCATAAGATTTCGTCCATGGGCTCTAAGGAAGGAGTTAATGGGCTGCTTGTTACCTAAGTTAGGTATTAGGGTTTCCACCTGAAAAGCCTAGCAGCCACAACTATATATAGGACCCCATACAAGGGGATTTTCGGCCTATGCATTCAAGAAAGAAACCCTGGCCAAAATCCTTCTCTCTTAAGTCATCCTCCTTGCATTGGGTATTTGTGACTCCATTAGAGGTGCAACACTTGGGGCACTAGGCTTTCAGAAGTCAAGATCAAAAGGGATTAAACTTGTTTTTGCTACATAACAAGAGAGGTAAAGATTCGAACCCTAATCATATGTGATTTTCGATATATATATGCTAGTCATAGGGTTATTTCTTTGGTATTCATAGTTGTATGTTTAAATTAGAAAAACCTAGATCCAAAGCAATTAGGGTTGCATGTACACCGTATGAATGATGTTATGCTCAAAACCCAACACTTGGAAGCTCAATACCATCTAGATTAAGAAGTATCTCACCCTCAAGCACCCTTTGGAGGTATAAAGTTAAGATCTTGATAAGTTATTTGCTTAGATCTTGTTACCCTTTGTTTTGTGTTCATTTTTTGTCCCTTAAGCTTGGTGTTCATGAGTGTAGGTTACTCTAACCAGAAGAGTTGTCCTTTTGGACGTTTTAGGTGTTAGTGTGATATTGGTCCTTCTTTTCCTTCCATGTAAGAGTAGTGATGTCTTAATTGATTATCAAGTTAGGGTTTTAGCTTTTGGGCCTTGTATAGCCATGGAAAGTCATAAAGTTGAAAACTTTATGACTTAGAACAATGTATTGAGTCTTGATTTGTGTTTGGATGGGAGCTCTTAATGGAATAAGCACATCTGAAGAGAAAAGGGGTTCAGGCGCAGTACGTCCGGCGTACCAAGTGGTACACTGTGTGTACTAGGCTGAAGCATCAATGGTTCGCTTAGTCTTCGACTACGCCCAACATAACAGCTGAGTACGCGGGGCATACTCAGCCATCTTGACATTCCCTTGATTTTTGACTTATTGACGTTGACCTTTGACCTAGAGTTTGACCAAATTTGACCTAGCGGCATTTTGGGTATTTTGAACTGTAGTTTGAGTCTAGCCCACTGTTTGTTGTATATGTGACCTGTAGAGTTGGCTTTGGAGCATCATTCGTCTCTGCTATCTTTTCAGACTGCGAGGTGAGTTTTCCTCACTGTACTTGTGGGTCGAAGGCACCAATGTCGGCCTAGTAGATTGTGTATTCTAGTTCAGAATGTTGTTATACTGTAGTGAACTGTTAAGATATGCATGATTATTTGGTTGTTGTTATGTGTTTATTTGTTTTACATGTCGACATAGTATGGTTGGGTTGAGACTGTACTGCTTTGTGCTACCAGTCAACAAACCCGGACAAGCCAACCGAAAGGTTGTAGGCCGGTGGCAATCCAACCGTGAGGTTGTGGGCCATAAGGGGGCAATCCAACCGTGAGGTTGTGAGCTAGGGCAATCCGACTGGAAGGTTGTGGGTCACGGGTAATCCAACCGGGAGGTTGTGGACCGAGTACGTATTGTTTGTATATGTTCTATTGTGTGGTATTTGGGGGAAACTCACTAAGCTTTGACTTATAGTTTAAGTTTTATGTTTCAGGTACTTCAGATGATCGAGAGAAAGCAAATGTGTGATTATGCACATCCCTCTGAGTTGATGATATTTGATTTTGGGGTAATCTGATTGATGATTATTACTTGTGGGAACTATGTTTTGTAAACAATTATGATTTTTGGTTGGATTTTGAAAATGACAATTTTACCTTGATTATGAGATTTTACTCTCTCTCTCTCTCTCTCTCTCTCTCTCTCTCTCCCTCTCTTTCTCTCAAACACACACACACACAGTAAACACATACGTACTTCAATTTTTTTTTAGTTTTGTTTTACAAAAGAAACACCCATACTCATGGATCTGAAATCAATTTTTTTTTAGTTTTGTTTTACAAAAGAAACACCCATACTCATGGATCTGAAATCATTTTCAAAATAGAGAGAGAGAGAGCCTATTTTATTTTTTAATTGTTTAAATAAATAAATCATAAGTATTAGATTTAAAAAAATAAAAGAAAATTAGAAAAATAAATACCCAAGGGTATTATAGCCACTTCAGTTTACTGAGAGATTAAAGCTGCAACGAAACTAACTTAAAAGGACCACAAAGCCAAAAAAAAATCAAGGTTTAAACTAAACTTTGAAAAAAATGTATACCATAGAGATTTTTTTTATAGTTTTGTCATTTATTTATTTATTTATTTTTGAAAAAAAGAAGAAAATCTATTTTCGGTATTTTATATTTTTTTCAGCTTTTTAGGTTTTAAACTCTGCAGGCTTTGTACTTTCGTTACTTTACATACATACATACATACTGCTTGGAGGCTGTGGGCCTTTTCTCATTTTATAATGACGAAACCGCCCCTCATTTTGCCACCCAATAAATACAATTTACTTTTTGAAACAGGTGCAACTTGTCATTACCTAATGGCACCATTAGTTCATCATACTGACGGCAAACTTGAGGTGTTTCTGGGACCCACACCCACTACTATTTTTCTCTATATTTATACATCTCAAAGAGCTAAAACACACCTGTTTCCAGAACAATGATGCTTTAGAGACTTGAATACTGTTCATTACCACTTGTACATTTTCTGGATGTAGGAAATTGAGGTATTGAGAGCGAAAGAAAGTAGAAAAGAATAACCGCCGGAAAGTAGAAGAAGCTTTCAAAGTAAAGAATAGTTGAGGGGCAGTTGGTTGGTTTCAAGAGTTGAGGAAGAGGATCTTAGCTTCCATATATAGCCATAGAGATGATCAAATGTGGAGCAATCTCAGCCGTTGGATCTGTACTAGCGTAGGATTCTCAGTTGAGTACACGTGCTTCCATCTCTTTTTATCCTTGCTTCCATGCATGGGTTTCTCCATCTAAACCTCTTCTCTTCTGTCTCTATATATTTCTAGAGAGAGAATCACTCAAAAAAGTTTAGAGAGAAGGAGAGAGAGTAGCTTTTCTTTGCTTTCATCATCGATCATCTATCATCCATCATCGCCTATCGTCAATCTTTTTTCTTACTTCAAATCTCAACTAACTAAAGCTACTTGCTATGAGTAGATCTTGATATTTTTCTTGAGTGAAATCCGAGATGGGTTCTTTGTTTTTCACTTCGATCTTACAGAATTTTAGCTTTTAATCTGGTTTATTGATCTGGGTGTTTCTCAATTTTCAGTTTTGATCTTGAATTCTTCTCTGTTTGACTTCAATTAGATCAGAATTTCGTCCTTTTTACCAAAAATGTCGAATTTGATCCAAGAAAGTAATCAAGAATTGATGAAACACTCGTGTAAGCTGTGCGACAAGAGCTTCCCTTCTGGTAGATCCTTGGGAGGTCACATGAGGTCTCACGTGATCAACTCCCCCGATCATCATCTTCATCAACACCAGAAACAGATGAAGAAGCTCTCATCTGTCAACAATGGCGGAAAATTAATCAAGAACGATACTGTAGTAGAAATCGATGGTTCTTCGAATGATTTGGGTTATGAGCTGAGGAAAGATCCAAAAAAGACTCCAAAAGTCAAAGATACAAGTGAAATGGAGAATTGTTTGGTGGTTCTTGATAAGCTCTGTAAAGAATGTGGAAAAGGTTTTCAATCTTGGAAGGCGTTGTTTGGGCACATGAAATGTCACTCTGAAAAAGTCGCAAACAACAACAAATTGAATCAAGATTCTTGGACTAGTCAATTGGATAATGAGAATTCTGGTGTGAAAGATCGTCGTATGAAGAAATCAAAATCAAGAAACGGAAAAATTAAAAGGTATAAAGTTACTTCTGCTACAACTGCTACTGTTACAACAACCACCATTACAACAGCTTCATCATCAATCTCGATGAATGCTAATAATAATAATAATAATAACAACAATCAAATTAGTAGTAATCATGCTTCAACGAGTGTTGTATCTGAGATTGAGCAAGATCAAGAATCTGAGATTGCTATGTGTTTGATGATGCTTTCGAGAGATGAGGGAAAATGGGGCAATGAATTTGAATCATCTGATTATTGCAATTCCTCTGCTTTTGTGGGGTTGACTAAAGTTGAGGGTAAAAAGCGAATTGGGAAGGGTTTCAAGATCAAGAAACTAGCAGAAACACAAGTGGGTGTTGATTATCTTGGAAGATCTGAAGTGGGTTTTACTGGAGTTGAGAAAATTATGATCCGAAACGATGATTTTAACGACGAATGTGAGTTGTTTTTTGGAAGCAAGAGAAAGTTTGAGTGCATTACTTGTAACAAAAGCTTCGACTCTTATCAAGCACTTGGTGGGCATAACGCAAGTCACAAGAAGTTAAAGGGAAGTCTAGATCCGAAAACCGAAGGTGAAAACACAATCGAACACAAACCCTTTTTCAATCATGAGCATATAATCAATGGGTTTGATTCAAAACCATCTGATAATCATCAAACGACAAAAGCTTTCAATCTTGGTGTTCGTTCTTTGAAGAAATCAGTGGTGTTGGGAGCACATGAATGTCCAATTTGCTTGAAAATCTTCTCATCTGGGCAAGCTTTAGGAGGTCACAAGAGATCGCATATGATTGCAGAGGCTAAATTGAATCAACAAACAAGTATGAATCTTATTGAGAAAGAGAATGAACCTGTTCGAGGGTTTTTTGATCTCAACATGCTTCCCGATACAATGGAAGAAGAGCCATGGCATCATGAATCAACGACACTACTTGGTTTGCTCTCAGGAATTTAAAAAAACAGTAGTAACATCATTTGAAGAGTGTACAGATTTCATTAATTCTTTGCATAATTGATGTAATATGCTGCTTGAACAGTAGCCATACACAGTTACACACACAAACACCACTTACACACACTACCACAACACCTTCATTTTTTTTTTTTGTGCTTATAACTACATTGTTTTGATCAAGGGATAATTCTTGTAACATTCGAGATTTCAGTTGTTAAAATCATTATCTTGGGTTTTAATAAATTTTCTTACTCTCTGTTTTGGAAAGTGTTAGAATTGAAATCTCAATCGTGTATTCAAATGGGAGCAACTGTATCACATATATGACTTCAAAAGGGAAAGTAAATAAAAGTTAGTATCTACACATAAACATGAGAAAGTCAGATTAGGAGCATATGGATATGACTATATGAGTACTTGTAAAATGAGAGCAAAACAAGGGTGAAGTGGTTGAACAGATAAAGGGGAAAATTATAAAATATGATGAAAAGTGGGTTGTATAGTCACCAACCATCACAACACACATTGACAACTCCTTGTTTCACCTCTATGAATCTTTCATAAGTCATAACCATATAGTGCTAGTGGGTTATAGTTTACTTTGGGTTTCATGTTAATTATACTATTATGTTAATGATGTTCTTAATATAAGTATCAAAACTTTTGAAGTTATCATTTAAAAATATTTGCAACATTGACTTTGATTTGTGAATTGTTTTATGTCAAGTAGTAGTTGTATGTAAAGTTGGTATTTTACCAGGTAGTATGACTATAGTGTTTCTAATGTGTAAATTTTTTTTTTAAAGAGAATTCTAATGTGTAAATTAATTGATTCTGAAATGATTTTTTGGGGTTTAGACAAATATTTAAATCATATTTCTAAAACATAATGAATATTGATGAATATAATAGATGCAATATACCAATATTGCTACTGTGAAATACGTTGTTTTTATTCTGTTTAAACATGACATTCTTGTGTAGATGAAATTGCGATATTCCTCATCACGTAATTGTTAGTTAAAAATTTGTATAATTTATAATAATTAAATTAATAGAAATTTGTATTGTATCGTTTACAAGTATTAAGTTATTGGCAAATAATAACTTTTTATCATGGTTCAAAGATCATCTTCAATAAATAAATATGTTTAAAGATTTATCTGAGTCACGAGGTGTCATAAACCTTTTTTTTCATAAATTTCTTCTCCACCGGTTTATAACATGCGCCAACAAGTTCCTTGTTATTATTTTATAAGGAAATTAACAATGTAACCAATATTTAATTGCATTTAAAGAAAATAACAATTATTATTATTGTTATTATTATTATTATGATTATTATTATTATTTGCAAAATGACCATCTACTCCGCAACATGACATTCCGAAGTTGAGCCAACGATACAGCCCATTCTGTATCGGGTTCGAAACTAAATGTCAAGTACTTAAAGACATTCTAGAATCTACATCCAAATAGCTTGCTTTTTAGAGAAATTAGGACAAAGAAATATCATACAATTATGATGAGTTGGGGTATTAGGGATAAGTCATTGGTTCGAATACTTGTATTTGTATTTTTATTTATTTATTAAACTGAATTTTACTAGTCTGGGATAAAAAGAACATGTCCAGAATATAATGTTAATTCATATATAATGTCATAAAGTTGTTTGGTAGGATCTGAATTGTTAAGAGATCTGAATTTTTAAAAGGGTCTGAATTTTTAAGATCTTAATTTTTAATATGTTGTTTGGCTGAGCTTTGAATTATTCTATTGAATGATAAAAAAAATACCATTTTACCCTTATGTGTTATTTTTTGCTGAATTTAATGTTTTTTTTTTACAAAATAACCGAACCAACTTCTTGAATTATTATAAAAAAATAAACACCAAACAAAATCAAAATTAAAATAAATCTAGCTGAAATAGAAATCCAAATCAAACTTATTAGTGAGTTGTCTATAACATAATATGTAATCTTGTTTCCAATCAATCCTAATTTGAAGTTGTTTCAAATGAAAAGTCATATAAAGTTCATGGGTTTTTCACAAAATTAAAAACCTAATCTACAAAATATAACATCACTTCAAAACTATTGAAAGAATAACAAGAAATTCATATATGATGGGTGAACAACCTGGAAAAAGACATGTTCCATTTGACTATTTTTCCCTTGGCCCTCTCTAAAATCCACCGTCATATCACTATACATGTAGTGAGGCTCGTTGAAGGGACACAAAATTTGCCATTTTTCTGTTCCTATCAACTACAAAAGAGTCATACACAAGAAACTTTGATCCATAAAAAGAGCATTTGAAAGATGTGATGATGTTAAGACAATTATGTTATAGAATAAGATCCACCATAAAAATAGGATGATGGACCTATAAAAAAATCAAGTATCCTATATTGATTGTAAAGTACTAGAACATTAATAACACAATTATTAACAAAATACATAATGTGAATTCAATCAAACTACAAACTTCATAATATAGGATAGTTGATTTTTTTATAGATCCATCATCCTATTTCTATGGTGGAGCTTATTCTATAACATAATAGTCTTAACAAAATACATAGTGTGAATTCAATAAAACTACAAACTTCATAATTTGTATATACAGACACAATTACACAACAATTCATCAATAAAACTCACAGCAATTTGGGATTTAATCTAATAACGATTGACACTTGGCATGATAGGTGAAGGTTTGTATCGATCGGATACACTTGAAGTATAAATCACAAAGAAAAAGCTAACTAAACCAAATAAATAACAGAAAAAGTAAAGACCATGAATTAATCATAAAGATGTCTTTCACCAAGAAAGGGGTTGCTTTCACCAAGAGAATGAAGGTCACAAAGACGGTCACCAAGACATACATTAGGGTTTCACCCTAATGTTGAATATATACTAAACTATACTAGTATATCCCTTTAATAAAGGGATTGTATCTAATTTATAATAAGAAATGATCCTTATTCACCAAGATATCGGATCTGTTATCTGTTCTATACATATGTGTATAATTGCCTAATATACAAAGACTACATAAGATCATTATCTTCACGCTGACGCTGATAAGATCTTGAGGCGCTGACGTCAGCGTGTAAAGTGTTTGACTCATCAGATCATATGGTGTGACCTTACAATCTTCCCCTATTTGATGATGTCAAAACTAATCTTCTTCAGAGGAGTCATCAAAAGAACCATTGTAAAATTTATCAGCTTCTTTCACGATTTCAGGTTTTACCCATCTGAATTCATCAATTTGTAGATCCTCCAATCTTTTGCTAAGCTCAATAGAAATCAGCACACGATATCCTCTTTCAAGTTCTTTATGACGAATTCCCTTCATGCGAAGATGGAATAAATGCTTAGTGGGTGCAGCGGGAAGATCATCAGTGCGTTGAAAACACATATGGTTTTGACTATCAAGATAGAAAATACCATGTTCTGGTTCATGAATGAACATGTGCTAAACTGGTTCAACACCAACTAGCATCTTGTTGTTGATGTAGCGAGTACCATACGGAAGAAGAAACTTAGTATACTTGGATATTCTGGGGGTGCCTGTTCTTCCTGAAGTGGATGGTCTAGATGGACCAGCTGATGGCACAAGATTTAGCTTTTTGACTTTGTTAAGTAGCTGCTGAATTGCTAATTTCACCTCCTGAGCATAAATACCTTTATGTTTGTCAATAATTTCATGAATTTGTATCCACTCGTTGTAGCCAAATTTGACTAGATCACGAGCAAGCACGACCTCAGTATATTCATACTTAGTCTTCTTCCTGACCAAGTGAAGCTTTAATGACTCATTCTTTGGTTTAGTGCACCTTACCCTGATGATGGGATCAGGTTTTAATCTACGAGCCAGGACATCTCCAAACTTCTTTCTGGCAATCCTGTCATTCAGCTCAAAAACTATGTGTTGTTTGGCCACATTATTTTTGAACAGCTGAATATTCTTCTTTTGAACATTAGTTCTTTGGATATCAGCACTTTCATCAGCAGAAGCAAGATTCTGAACAAGTTTATGATGGGTTTTGGGTAAAACAAATAAACTAGAAAACAATTCCTAAGTTCACATGCAACCTACTTTGGATCTATGTTTTAACTATTGAACATATAACTTTGAATTGCAAAACAAGAACCCTAAGGAGAGAGGCTATTTTCGAAATTAACCAACTAGGGTTTTAGAGTTACATACCTTTCAATTGTTATAGCAAACAATTGGTAATCCTTTGATCTTGATCTTCTTGGAAGCCTAGCACCATAATTGTAATGCCTCTAACGGAATCACACCCAAGAGCTAACAAGAAGGAAACTTGGGAGGAGAGAGGTTAGGATATGTAATTTTGGCCTAGGGTTTCTTCAAGAGAAGGAGTACCAATTTTGGGAGCCAAGAGGCTCCTTATATAGCTGAGGGATCTAGGGTTTAGGGAAAACCATAATGTTCCTTTGCTTGGGGCCTAAGCTTATCCAAAGGCCTTATCCAGGCCCCTTGGACGAAATCATTAGGGTTTCCCCTATAGATTTCGTCCACCCCCTTCCAAGGAGGTTCTGGAACCTTCCACTCAACTATTTGATAATTGCAAACTAGTCCCTGCACTTTATAATTAATACAATTAACCCCAAAATTAATTCTAATTAATTTCTGGCTAACTATTAATTAAACATTATGATTTCTGATTAATATATTAACCTTTTAACATATTAATAAATCATTTATATTAATTTATTAATCTTATAATAAATTAATATCTCTCCTTTCATAATTTCCTTGTCTAGTTGCTAGGTTTGAGGGAAACCCAAAAGGACTGTGCTGCTTTCAATTCAAGTACATACCAATTATAGTTATGGGCTTAGACACCTAATCCAACAGTCTCCCACTTGGATAAGTATGTAACTATAACTGCTAGTAAGACTTCTAAATTTGGCCAGCAAATTGTAGCTTCCAAAAGCTGCTGGCGAACTCTGACCCAGT